CTCTTTTATCTCCTGATAAGACATATCATATGTGAGTCACTCTGCACATGCTCAGTTTGGTGTGTATTGCTCGAGAGGTTTTTTTTTTTCTTGGGAGAGTGCATGTGATCAGCACAGGGCCAATCAGCAATATCCAGACAGAAGTCAGGGGTTCTGCATCCTCCTAAAGCAGAATGAAATCTCCACCTACAAGTTTTAACAAGTGCTCTGCTGGAAACTGATAGAAGTCACAAGACTGCTCTAACTGCTGATGATAAAAGGTATTTAGCAGTTTATATTTTCGAAAATAATTGCACTTCCATGTTCTGTGTACTGTGGGAAACTAGATATAGTGAATACAGGGTCCTGGGTTTAGTAACACTTTAACCATTTTTCTGCCCGGCCAATAGCAAAATGATGCCTAAAGGCCCTTACACACACAATAAGAAAATTGTACAAACATTTTTGTACGAGGACCAATCGTCCAATAATCTGATAGTACACAGCTTTTGAGAGCCGATGACAATTCATACGACAATATCCAAAGGGACAAGTGCACAAAATTACCAGATCATACGATTTTCGTTTATTCAGTACAGTAGTCGTTCAAAATGAAAATACAAATACAACACAATACATGACATCACTTTCTAAATTCTTTTCTTTCGTACAAGAATTTTCGTAAGTTTAGTACCCTCTTCATTTGAATCTTACAGACCTAGGAAAGGAGAAGTAATAGCACAATGATCTTCCCAGTGAATGGCTGTGCAGAAATGGGGTGGTAGCATGTCAGCACAAACCTGATCATTGGATTAGCTCCCTGCACAGCCAGAAAAATTGAAACGCTGTGCTCTCACGCCTTTTGTGGCATCACTTAGATTTGCAGTGGCAAGGCGGCTCTCCTGCACTGGATCTTATACCTAGTACGTGATCAAGCGCTTCTGGGAAGGGATCACGTGCACTCTCTGCCCCAGCTGTTCTTTGATTGGACACAGCACACACCTGATCAGCGGGTGCCAGCCAATGATTGCCAATCATTGGCGTTATTAGCCAGGACCTGCTGATCGGCGAAGAGGCTGAAAGGACTGTGGTCTGTGTATGTACACAATACAGAGCTCTGCCCTGTCAGTAGGGATGTGCTCATCCCCTAGTAAAAGCACCACTGTACCCTGCACACACACAAAGCACTGTTAGAAATTCACTTAACCCTTTGATCACCCCTAGATGTTAACCCCTTCCCAACCAGTGTCATTAGTACAGTGATCAGTGTATATTATTGGCATTGATCACTGTATTAGTGTCACAGGTTCCCACAAATTGTTACTGTCAGATTGACCGCCATACTATTACAGTCTCGCTACAAGTCACTGATCACCGCCATTACTAGTTTTAAAAGAAAACCTCCAGTATACTGTACATCCCATAGTTTGTAGACACTATAACTTTCAAACAAACCAAACATTATACACTTGGTATTTTTTTTTACCAAAAATATGTAGCAGAATACATTTTGACCTATATTTATGAAGAAATTAGATTTTTTAATTTTTTTATTGCATATGTTTTATAGCAGAAACTAAAAAAATGTTGTTTTTTCTATTCAAAATTGTAGTTTTTTTTTTTTTTTTTTAAAAGACAGCTCTATTTGTGTGAAAAAATTATATAAATTTCATGTGGGTACAGTGTCGCATGACCACGCAATTGTTAGTTACATTAACACAGTGTGATATAGCAAAAAATGACCTGGAAGGAGCTAAATCTTCCGGAGGGCAAGTGGTTAATAAGAAAGCAGAGGGACTGGCAGGCACACCAGGGATTTCACACAAAGGAAGCATTACAAAGAGAACAGGATACGCAAGTACCATATTTTTCGCTCCATAAAATGCACCTAGGTTTTAGAGGAGGAAATCAAGAAAAAAAATATTCTGAACCAATGGACTACAGACATAGTACAGGAAATAACCAGAGACTGCGGATGTACTACAGGAGATGACCAGAGACTACAGACATAGTACAGGAGATGACCAGAGACTGCAGATGTACTACAGAAGATGACTAGAGACTGCAGACATAGTACAGGAGATGACCAGAGACTGGAGACATAGTACAGGAGATGACCAGAGACTGCAGACAGTAGAGGAGATGACCAGAGACTGCGGACATAGCACAGGAGATGACCAGAGACTGCGGACATACTACAGGAGATGACCAGAGACAGTGGACATAGTACAGGAGATGACCAGAGACTGCGGACAGTAGAGGGGATGACCAGAGACTGCGGACATAGCACAGGAGATGACCAGAGACTGCGGACATACTACAGGAGATGACCAGAGACAGTGGACATAGTACAGGAGATGACCAGAGACTGCGGACACAGCGCAGGAGATGACCAGAGACTGCGGACACAGCACAGGAGATGACCAGAGACTGCGGACACAGCACAGGAGATGACCAGAGACTGCGGTCACAGTACAGGAGATGACCAGAGACTGCGGACACAGTACAGGAGATGACCAGAGACTGCGGACACAGTACAGGAGATGACCAGAGACTGAGGACACTGTACAGGAGATGACCAGAGACTGAGGACACTGTACAGGAGATGACCAGAGACTGAGGGACACTGTACAGGAGATGACCAGAGGCTGCGGACATAGTACAGGAGATGACCAGAGACTGCGGACACAGTACAGTAGATGACCAGAGACTGCGGACATATTACAGGAGATGACCAGAAACTGCAGACACAGTACAGGAGATGACCAGAGACTGCGGACATAGTACAGGAGATGACTAGAAACTGCAGACACAGTACAGGAGATGACCAGAGAATGCAGACATAGTACATATACATATACATGTAATGAGGTATAAATCACTCTGTATACATGTAATGCTATATATATCGCTCTGTATACATGTAATGAGGTATAAATCACTCTGTATACATGTAATGAGGTATATATCACTCTCTGTATATACAGGTGAAACTCAAAAAATTAGAATATCGTACAAAAGTTCATTTATTTCAGTAAGGCAACTTAAAAGGTGAAACTAATATATGAGATAGACTCATTACATGCAAAGCAAGATAGTTCAAGCCGTGATTTGTCATAATTGTGATGATTATGGCTTACAGCTCATGAAGACCCCAAATCCACAATCTCAGAAAATTAGAATATTGTGAAAAGGTGCAATATTCTAGGCTCAAAGTGTCCCACTCTAGTCAGCTAATTAAGCCATAACACCTGCAAAGGGTTCCTGAGCCTTTAAATGGTCTCTCAGTCTGGTTCAGTAGGAATCACAATCATCGGAAAGACTGATGACCTGACAGTTGTGCAGAAAACCATCATTGACACCCTCCATAAGGAGGAAAAGCCTCAAAAGGTTATTGCAAAAGAAGTTGGATGCTCCCAAAGTGCTGTATCAAAGCACATCAATAGAAAGTTATGTGGAATGGAAAAGTGTGGAAGAAAAAGGTGCACAAGCAGCAGAGATGACTGCAGCCTGGAGAGGATTGTCAGGAAAAGGCCATTCAAAAGTGTTGGGGACTTTCACAAGGAGTGGACTGAGGCTGGAGTCAGTGCATCAAGAGCCACCACACACAGACGGATCCTGGACATGGGCTTCAAATGTCGTATTCCTCTTGTCAAGCCACTCCTGAACAACAAACGTCAGAAGCGTCTTACCTGGGCTAAAGAAAAACAGACCTGGTCTGTTGCTCAGTGGTCCAAAGTCCTCTTTTCTGATGAGAGCAACTTTTGCATCTCATTTGGAAACCAAGGACCCAGAGTATGGAGGAAGAATGGAGAGGCACACACTGCAAGATGCTTGAAGTCCAGTGTGAAGTTTCCACAATCTGTGTTGATTTGGGGAGCCATGTCATCTGCTGGTGTTGGTCCACTGTGCTCCATTAAGTCCAGGGTCAACGCAGCCGTCTACCAGGAGATTTTGGAGCACTTCATGCTTCCTTCCACAGGCAAGCTTTATGGGGATGCTGACTTCATTTTCCAGCAGGACTTGGCACCTGCCCACACTGCCAAAAGCACCAAAACCTGGTTCAATGACCGTGAGATTACTATGCTTGATTGGCCAGCAAACTCGCCTGACCTGAACCCCATAGAGAATCTATGAGGCATTGCCAAGAGAAAGATGAGAGACATGAGACCGAACAATGCAGAAGAGCTGAAGGCCGCTATTGAAGCATCCTGGTCTTCCATAACACCTCAGCAGTGCCACAGGCTGATAGCTTCCATGCCACGCCGCATTGAGGCAGTAATTGCTGCAAAAGGGGCCCAAACCAAGTACTGAGTACATATGCATGCTTATACTTTTCAGGAGGTCTGATATTGTTCTATGTACAATCCTTGTTTTATTGATTGCATCTAATATTCTAATTTTCTGAGATTGTGGATTTGGGGTTTTCAGGAGCTGTAAGCCGTAATCATCACAATTATGACAAATCACGGCTTGAACTATCTTGCTTTGCATGTAATAAGTCTATCTCATATATTAGTTTCACCTTTTAAGTTGTATTACTGAAATAAATGAACTTTTGCACGATATTAAAATTTTTCGAGTTTCACTTGTATGTAATGAGGTATAAATCACTCCGTATACATGTAATGAAGTATAAATCACTCTACATACATGTAATGAAGTATAAATCACTCTGCATACATGTAATGACGTATAAATGTCATCTGAAGATATGTTGAATTAATTAGCGGTGTATATAACGCTCTATAGACGCTGCAGTCATGAACATGGCTCTTCTGATACTGTATATTGCACACGTGACACAGAGCGCCGGTGTTTCTGTTGGCGTACAGCACCGCCCCTTTAAGCCGTCTTAGCAGCGGAACGCTGTGATTGGCAGAGACGGTATCCTAGTAACCGTGCGGCGGCGTCTGCGGCCTCTGTAGGGGAGAGCAGGGCCTGTGTGTCAGGAAGGAGCCCTGATCTGCGGGTCCCCCCGGCCGGTGACAACTGTGCCTGGATCGACTCTCATCCCAACCATGTCTCTCCGCACCCTTCCGCTGCTCTTCATCAATCTGGGGGGAGAAATGCTCTACATCCTGGATCAACGTCTCCGAGCCCAGAACATCCCTCCAGACAAAGCCAAGAAAGGTAAGTGGAAGCTAATATGGCTACGCCTCTCCATCCATACCCAGGGGGTGTGCTATGGCCTTCCAGCAAGGGGCCCCTGGGGGATTGGGCCCTGGGAATCCATCAGTATGGGGCTGCAGGGCCAGCACAGGAATAGCACATCTGAGAGCATGGAGACCATGATTAGCACAAGGCATTGGAGTTCATTTACACAAGTACACAGAGCCATGTCACCTAGACACACTGTCACTGGCCATAGATCCAACTGCCATTTCTAGGGGGATTCACACCCTTGCTGGCTAAACTGCAGCCAAATGTCTGTCTGCGGAGGGAGCGGGGACTAAAGTGGCCATACACTAAGCCTGCACAATGATTGAAGGATATCAAACAGATTTGTGCGATTTCAGGTTCAATTTGTGAATTGAAATCACATCTAATGATTGTGAATGTCAGTGTCCTGTGTGATTTCTAACGTACTTCTTGCATTACTTTTTCTGCAGTTTTGTAGCAATTTTACATACATAGAATACAATGGAAATCGCACTGCAAATTGCAAGAAATCATTGGAAATCTTCACAAGTAGCAATAAAGTCTTTAGAAATCGCAATGGTGTGACCGGTGACTAAAACTCGCCCTACATGGATCGAAAACTCATCTGGTTCTGCAGGGACTGGCCAAATTTTAATCCATGTGGTTGTACAGCAGTCAGACTACCAATCGATTCCTGGTCAACAGCCCTGCCAGATGTTCCCCTCTCGATCAGTGCTGCCGGATATAGCCAGCAATGCTGATCATTGTATTCTGATGGTGGGGAAGGCTCCCAGTTGTCAAAACACAATAGCTCATGGGGAGGGATTCCCCCATCCACATCGAGGGTGCGGATTTGGGAATCAAGTCAGTTTTTTTTTTGTTCAATCTGCTGATGAAATGAAAAAAATTGATTAATCTATGGGCTGCCTTACAGCCTGAATGAATGCTGGGCCATTGTATTCTGACAGCCCTGAGCTTTGGCTGTCACATCTAATGATTGTGAATGTCAGTGTCCTGTCAATGTCAGGAACCTGGACAGTTCCTGCATCTGTTTGGCCAACAAATATTGGCCTGGCTCCTTCAACAAATGCCAGATGAGTGATCAACTTTTGTTAGGGTGCTGGTGCAACTGGCTGTTGTACCAGCAATTGCAATTCCTTTAAATTGGTCAAAATCAAGTGTATGGCCAGCTTAATGCAGACCTCGGTCAAAATATATATATTTTTTTTACCATGCAGTGGGGCTGTGCCCTCCCTGCATGGATCAGCTACTTGACTTTTTTCTAGGGCTGAGGACTAAGCTCGTACCTGACCCATCGATCCTACGGAAAATCGCGCTCCCCATGGTCCAGCGGTGCACGGTTCTGGTCTATGGAGTGTACATTGAGCATGCTGACATAAAAAACAGTCCATTTACAAGACTGCTGGACTGCAGTGGGGGGGGGGGGGGGGGGGGGGGGGGTGGGGGGGGGGGGGGTGGGGAAGGAGCTGAAAGGACCAGTCCCACTGCATGGGCAAAACATTTTTTTTTCTGGATTTAAAGTATATGTACAGCCTCACCTTGTCAAACAACCCATTCAGTTAAAATAGAAATGAAAGGTAAAACTTTTGTGTATAGATATAAATACCTTTTTTCCCTTTCACATATCCCCTGTTCTCAGCTGCATAAAGAGCTCAGAGAGGTGGAGGTGGGGGAAGCAGCAGCACACTGATCTTACCAGTGAATGTCTGTGCAGGGGGGCATGGCAACACAAGCCTGAATTGGATTAGCTCCCAGCACAGCTAGAGAACTGACCATGCTGTGCTCTCATACCTAGGGTGGTCAGTTTTTAATATTTAAGCAGAGGGGCTGGCAGAAACACCGGGGATTTCACAGAAAAGAAGCAATAGAAAGAGAACAGGATACTTTTTCATGCAAGTACATGGTACAGTAGGCACATATCAGGAGTATGAAATGTTGGGTTTACAAATTCTTTAAAGCAGAACCCTGGGAAATCTAAAAGTCCTCCCTTGCAGTGGGACTGCACCACAAGGGTTAACTGCTCATTTAGTCTAGGGGACAGTAAGATAACCTTTACTTATCTGATTCGCCAAGCTCCTGGAAAAAAGTGCTCCTCCATGCTCCAGCAGCGGACCTTTCCTCATTTTCCTCATGACTAATGCAAGGCTATGGGCCTCCATCAGTCTTGATGATATTGGAGGACCTTTGAATCACTATACATGTTACAATCTGACCATACTATCTCTGTACTATCAATTTTATAATTACCAAAAGGATGTAATATGGAGGATCTACCAAATTTATATAATCAGTTTGTATCTAATCAGGCAGGCCAAAATACTACATAGTTTATGGTAGATCTAAAGGAGATTGTACAATCTGCTTGTAACATGTTTGGTAAGCTTTAGACTGCTAGAGTGCAGAAGAGGCTGCAGGAACCAATATAGGAGCGCAGAGGAGCCTGCAGAAGCAGAGGATCGTGTAAGCAATCAGGGCCACTCCTGACAAAGTTGATTGGGACGATACGCGTTGGGTGGGGTTGGTGAGACGTCATGACGTCTGTGTGACGTCATTACGCATGTAGAGGCTGCACGCATAATGGAGGAAGTAATGCAGACTAAATCAACCAGAGTGTTGGTTGATTTATCCTGATTGCTGGGAGATAACACAAGAATATGCAAGTTTATTTTTGTTTTTAATAAAAGTTGTACAGTGAGCTTTTACGTTTCCCTCAAATGATAACCTGATGGAATGTGCTATGTGAGGAGTCTGACTGTTACCATTTTCCTCTATGAAGCCCCAACTGTATAGGAGAATTACCATACATCATGCTATGTTAGATCATCTTATTAATGTAAGTGGTCAACATTCTACAGTTGGATTGAATGGGGTTTCTTCCCTTGAGAGATTGAATAATTGAATATTTCACTTTGGTTGCCTCTAGAAGAGTAGACTTTTTTTACATACATATTTATTTGGATGAATACAACACAGAAATGGGAGTTCTTCAAAAAGACTGTAAGTGAACTCACTGCAGAATATATTCCCATGGGCAACAAGTTTAAAAGGCTAAAAACCAAACCTTTGTGTCTTATGGCCAAAGTTAAAAAAGCTATAGATAATTAGAAAAGAGCTTTTATTAAATATAAAATGAAGGAAACATATTGTTGGTTAAACATTGCAAAGAATATAACAGAATATGTAAAAAGAAATCCAGGCCGCAAAAATTGAAAAAGAACAACAGAAAGAAAGCAGGACAAACCCCCCAAAATTCTTCAAATATATTAATAGTAAGAAGGTTTGGTCCGAGCATGTAGACCCTTTACAAAATAATCTAGAGTGGGTGACTGGGGACAAAGAGAAGGCACATTTATTAAATACCTTCTTCAGCTCTGTGTATACAAAGGAGCATGGGGGAGCTCTTGTCCATAATGGGCATGGGATTGGCACAGCTCCAGATGATCCACATTGGCTCACAATTGATATGATCCAAAAATATTTAGACAAAATAAAGGTGAATAAAGCACCTGGACAGGATGGCATACACTCATGAGTCCTTAAAGCAGGCATGTCCAAAGTCCGGCCCGCGTTCCGGACTGAAACGGCCCCACAAGTGAGCTACCCAAATATATAACTTACGGCCCCCGGTAGTGATTCCCTGAAAGCTACTGAGGACTCCAGCGATCTCTTGACATCATCAGCTGGCGCAGGAAGGAGAGCCCAAATCTTGCGACGTCCGAGATCTCATGAGATTTGGGCTTTCCTTCTCTGTGTGCCGGCTGATGACGTCAATTCCCGCTCGACAGATCCCTGGAGTCCTCAGTGGCGTTCGCAGAATCACTAGTGGAGGGCCGTAAGTTATATATTGGGCAGCTCATCTGTGGGGTCCAAAACGTGGGCCGAGGGATCCCAGGTGGTGCGCAGGGAATTACTACTGGGGCTACCATTTACCGTATTTTTCGCTCCATAAGACGCACTTTTTTCCCCCAAAAAAAGGGGGGAAAATGTCAGTGCGTCTTATGGAGCGAATATAAAGCGGGCGGTCCGGTATTTCTGCCGCCACCATGTCAGAATACCGGGCCGGCCGCTCAGCTGTTGTCTCCTGCAGGGCCTTACCTGTTCCTCGCTCCAGCGCTGCACAGTCTTCCCGCGCTGGCTTCTGTGACAGCCGGGTGCCCACTGCGCATGCGCTTCGCTTTGTGAATGGTCATCTCCTGCACCGTGTCCGCATCTCCGGTCATCTCCTGCACCGTGTCCGCAGTCTCCGGTCATCTCCTGCACCGTGTCCGCAGTCTCCGGTCATCTCCTGCACCGTGTCCGCAGTCTCCGGTCATCTCCTGCACCGTGTCCGCAGTCTCCGGTCATCTCCTGCACCGTGTCCGCAGTCTCCGGTCATCTCCTGCACCGTGTCCGCAGTCTCCGTTCATCACCTGCACCGTGTCCGCAGTCTCCGGTCATCTCCTGCACCGTGTCCGCAGTCTCCGGTCATCTCCTGCACCGTGTCCGCAGTCTCCGTCATCTCCTGCACCGTGTCCGCAGTCTCCGGTCATCTCCTGCACCGTGTCCGCAGTCTCCGGTCATCTCCTGCACCGTGTCCGCAGTCTCCATCTCCTGCACCGTGTCCGCAGTCTCCGGTCATCTCCTGCACCGTGTCCGCAGTCTCCGGTCATCTCCTGCACCGTGTCCGCAGTCTCCGGTCATCTCCTGCACCGTGTCCGCAGTCTCCGGTCATCTCCTGCACCGTGTCCGCAGTCTCCGTCATCTCCTGCACCGTGTCCGCAGTCTCCGGTCATCTCCTGCACCGTGTCCGCAGTCTCCGGTCATCCCCTGCACCGTGTCCGCAGTCTCCGGTCATCTCCTGTACTATGTCTGCAGTCCATTGGTTCAGAATTTTTTTTTCCTGTTCTTCGCCTCTAAAACCTAGGTGCGTCTTATGGTCAGGTGCGTCTTATGGAGCGAAAAATACGGTATCAATTTGGGCTATAATGGATTGGTGCTCAGG